CGCGGAGAGGCCTGGGGACTAGGAGAGGCGCCGTTACGTCACGTAGGGGCGGGGCCTGCTGAACGCGCCGGGATTGGGTGAGAGGCGGGGCGACGCCAGGTGAGGGCGGGGCCTGTATGACGCTCAGGGATTGGGTGAGAGGCTGGGTGACGCCAAGGTGAAGGCGGGGCTATGCCGGGCTGGGGCGGGGTGACGCCGGCTGGGGGCGGGACCTGGAGGCTCCGGAGGTCTCAGAATAAAGTCTGCCCCGACCGGTGTGGCTCAGTGGTTGACCACTGACCTATGAACCAGGAGGTCAGGGTTTGATTCCGGGTCAGGGCACATGCCCGGGTTGCGGGCTCAATCCCCAGGAGGGGGCGTGCAGGAGGCAGCCGATCAGTGATCCTCTCTCATCATTGATGTTTCCATCTCCCTCTCCCTCTCCCTTCCTCTCTGAAATCAATAAAATAAAAAAATTTTTAAAAAGAATAAAGTCCGCTTTGCTCCCTGTATTAGTCAGGGTTCTCCAGAGAAACCAAACCAACAGGATGTGTATACACATAGAATGATTTGTTTAAAGGGGTCGGCTCACACAACCATGGAGGTGGAGACCAATATCCGAAGGGTAGTCCAGTTCTGCGGACAGGATTTCCTCTCCTTGGGGGAGGTCAGTGTGTGTTCTATGCTCGCCTTTCCTGAGAGGGTGAGGCCCACCCACACTATGGAGGGGAGTTGGCTTTACTCAAAAGCCCAGTTATCCGTGGCTGCTTGTGTGGGGGTTTCCTGCCCGCACCAGCTGGCCTTGCTGCACCCGACTTCAAGACACCACATTGCCCGGCCGGTGTCGCTCAGGGGGTGAGCGTGGACCCATGAACCAAGAGCTCCCCGTTCCATTCCGGGTCAGGGCACATGCCTGGGTTGCAGACTCGATCTCCAGTAGGGGGCGTGCAGGAGATAGTCCATCGATGTCTCTCTCTCATTGATGTTTCTATCTCTCTATCCCTCTCCCTGCCTCTCTCTACAGTCAATAAAAACATATTTTTAAAAGAGAGAGAGAGATACCACATTAGCTCAACATTTATTCCCAACCAAAGTCTCTCTCCTTGACCACGGAGTCGGATTTCCAGTTCCCCCCAACGCCGAGGTTGAGTGTGGAGGGTGCGGGCACCTGACAGCTGGAGCCAGGTCTCCGCTCGGGCCGGTCTGGTGTGAACTACCCTGAGGATGGGCTGCTGTCTGTGGGGCTGAGAAGGGACAGTGCGGGCAGCCAGGAGGGGGCCTGAGACCGACGCAAACTTTGTAGGCTTGTCACACGCGGGCGGGAGGCTCCGGAAGGGGGCGGGGCCTGGGGGCGTAGA